AAACAGGGTGCAAAATAAACTGGGCTTTTGATTATGCAACAAAATAAAACAGGTGCAAACAGCCCTATAAATAAAACAGGGTGCAAATAGGGTGCAAACCCCTCTTGTTGGCACCAGATCTTTTTGCTATAAATAAAACAGGGTGCAAACAAGGTCCCACTTGGTGAATCAAACTTATAAAATTTAGCTTGTTTGATCAATTTTTTTTTCTTTTTTGGGTTTGTTTTTGTGATATTGTTTGATCAAGTTGAGAACACCCCAAAGATCCAAAAATAAAGCCACAATCACCAACCCCATCTATAGAACAGAGCCCCTCAAGATTTCTTAAAAATTAATAACAAAGTCAGATATTGAAATAAACTCCAAACAATCTCCATCCCTCAATCACAAACAAAGCTTGACCTTGATAAAATCCAACACCTTTACCCACTTTACACATGCTTCATTAAAAATGCATTCATTCCGAAACTTCCAAAGAGACTATAAAATAGCAATCAGAATTGAAAACCCATACCCACCTGATAATGATATTGTTTGTTTTTGTGATATTTTTTGATCAAATTTAGCTTTATCTTTGTGATATTGTTTTTGTGATATTGTTTTTCTATAGAATTGTTTTTGTGATCAATTTAATCAAACTCGATCAAACTTATACAAAACACAAATCATAATCTAAATTGTTAAACTTATAGAATTGTTAAATACTTTTGTGGCCAACACGCTATTGATCAAACTTATAGAATTGTTAAATTTCTTTGTCTCATAATCTTAGTACAAAACACAAATCAAAGAGATTAAACAATCTTAAAAAAACCTAATCCAATTTAATTCAGTACCCAATCTAACCCAATACACACCTACTATATCACAAAAGCAATATCACAATGAATGAAATACATAGACAATATGACAGAATAAAATATGGGAAAGAATAAAATATGACAGAATAAAATATGACAATATCGCAATGAATGAAATACATATACATAGACAATATGACGGAATATCACAAAAACAATATGACAGAATAAAATACATAGACACATTTCAATGAAATCAATGAAGGGTTCAATAAAAGAAAGAGATGAATCCATCTCTTAACATGGGAAAGAGAGGCGGAGTAAGTGAAGAAACACAAACAAATCTAAAACAAACAAATCATTTTGACCCATAAACAAATGTTTTGCTTCAGAATTTTTGCTTCAGAGTTAAATTTTGCTTCAGAATTTTTGCTTGAAGAAACAAATGTTTTTGAAGGTTTTTTTTTTTGGGTGAATATGTTTTTGAAGGTTGATTCTTAACAAAGTTGATTTAAACTCAAATTTATCAAACTTACATACCCTAGAATCAACTTACAGCCAACACGCTATTGATCAAACTTATAGAATTGTTAAATTTTTTTGTCTCATAATCTTAGTACAAAACACAAATCAAAGAGATTAAATAATCTTAAAAAAACCTAATCCAATCTAATTCAGTACCCAATCTAACCCAATACACATCTACTATTGTTCATGACAGAATAAAATACATAAACACATTTCAATGAAATCAATGAAGGGTTCAGTAAAAGAAAGAGATGAATCCATCTCTTAACATGGGAAAAAGAGGCAGAGTAAGTGAAGAAACACTTGAAGAAATTTTGCTTCAGAGATAAATTTTGCTTCAGACAAATCATCTTGACCCATAAACAAATGTTGCTTCAGAATTTTTGCTTTAGAGATAAATTTTGCTTCAGAATTTTTGCTTGAAGAAACAAATGTTTTTGAAAAAACAAATTAAACCCTCCAAATGCTTCAGAAACAAATGTTTTTGAAAAAAACAAATGCTTCAGAATTTTTTTTGAAAAAATAAATACATTTTTGCTTCAAAAACAAACCCTCCGAATGTTTGAAGAGACACATTTTTGCTTCAGGAAAAAACAAACTGAAGGTGGGGATGACGGGATGAGCCTACCTGGTGATGGTGGAGAAGAGAGCTTTCGATTGAGCTTTGTTCTTCCTTCTTCTAAGCTTTCTCAGAGCTCTTTGTTCATTGATACAAATGACGCATACGATGTAAAGAAATGATATAAAGAGTGCCTTACCTGGTGAGTGCAGTGGGTTGGTGAGAGTAGATTGGTAAACAAATCTGAACCATTGAATTTTAGTCATTGATAAATCTAGATCATTGAAACTCTTTTCAATCTCAGCCATTGTTTTTAAATTGGACAAATCTAAACCATTAAAGATAGTTTGTGAGAGATATATTTTTAAGAATAAATCTAAGCCATTGCTTTTTAAATTAGATAGATCTAAACCATTAATTTCAAAGACATTTTCAAACTCACCCTTCCATTGTTATATATATATATATATATATGTTGGTATTTTTTCATAATAATATAAGAAAAATATATAAAATAAATTAAATAAAAATGACAAAATAATTTTTTTATTTAAAGAATGAAAAACAGAATAAAATACACAACTAAAAATACAGAAATGAATTAGATTACATTACTAATAGGACAAATTATTAACATCGATAATTAAATATTAGAACTCATCTTTGTAAACTAAATTTTTGAAAAAATAAGAACAAACGATAAGAAAAGAAGCAAATCAAAACCTGCACTAGACAATTTCTTTAAAACAGATTCATCGCTTCCCAATGGGTGCTAGAGGTACGCCAACGTCTGTCTCCCATAATACGACGGTCGAAACCAGCCAATGCAGAAGCACCTTCTGAATAACTTCGGCGAACTTGACAATGGTTGCACTCTCTCTAACAAGGACCAAATAAGGGGTTATCAAAAGAAGATAGGAAAAATTTTATTTGGTGGAAAAAAACATCTCAAACTTTTTATCTTAAAACACTATCTCCATTTTTCATCAAAAATTTCTCCAAAATTATCCTACTAAGTTGGAGGGGAAATGTCTCTATTTATATAAGTAGGGAAATTCTAGCCATGAAGGCTATACATCAATAGGGTCATCAAATGCCATTAACCAAGGCCATCAACTCTAGCCATTAGGGTTAGAGTTACAAAGATTGAAAACCTATAGCCACTAATATAGTCATCAACTCCATTATCAAAATATGAGAATTACAAAGGTCTAAACATCCCATGTGTTTAAAATATACAAATAAATATGTATATAATGATGGTTGAATAAACCAACTAGATGGATCACAAAATAGATACTAATGTTGGGTCACAACCCGATTCAAGAACAATTCTCAAACACATGCACAAGTTAAGTCCAACATAACATAGCTTAACCCAAGCTCAAGATTAAATCCAAGTCCAAGACCAAACCCAACATATGCACAAGTACAAGCCTAGGCCCAGTCCAAACTAAACTAAGTACAAATCTAAGCCTAACTTTATTGATACACACTTTATGAAACAATTCTTATTCACAAATCAGTGATTTCGGTTCATTATTTTTGTATTGTAATCTTCTCACTTAAGAGAATACAAAATCACTCAGACACACGTCAACCGACTATTGATCCCACTTTAATTTCGAGTTAAAGTTGCCAAAAAATCGTTATTTTCCAACAATATATATACTTGTGTATAGAGTTTTGTTGTAGCAACAAGGTCAAGGTGAAAGATCAAACACCAATGCCCCCTTTCTCATTTAGGTAAGAAAAAAAAAGAAATAATTGTGAGAGAAGAATACGAGCAAGATTTTTTTCTTTGTTTGTATTTCAAGGGATAATTTTGACATTATAAATATTTTATAACTAATTAACTTTTTCTTACAAAATCTTATCACTGTTGGTGAAAAATGAAATAAGCTTAGTAAAAGAGTTTTATTTCTCACATTTTTTTAAAATTATTTTTTCTCACTATTTTTTCACTCAACTTATAACTTATAAATCATAAATACGAAGGAAGTTATCTTTCTCATATTTTTTTTTTATAATTTATCGCCAAACCACCTCTAAACATAGTGCAAAAGCTGAGCTTTGAAAGTTCTGTACGTGAGATTGGTTGGGGTGGAAATTGGAATAAGAAAATTATTTTGTTCACGCAATTAATAATGTGTGTGGATAAAATATATACAACTTTACTAAAATAAATAATGTTTCTAATAGTTTTCAAGTAAAAATTGAACTGCATGATTGTATTTTTATTTATAATAAGATAAAGGAAAATAATCTATGATTATTAAAAATGAAAAGTGTGAATAGCTTTTCTCCAAACTAACAGAACAGTAGAGTTTACATGCTACTTGTGTTTTTAGGGTTCAATGTTTCATGTTTTGCTTCTTTCTTTCTTTATTATTTTTTCTTTGCATTTTTTTAAATTAAAAAATAAAACACTTTTTGATAATTTGGTGAAGGCACAATGAAACTACAACTCCGTAATGAGATAGTATTATTTTTCAACAAAAAACGTATTAACTTATGGAGAGAAATCTTATCATCACACAACTCTGTTGATTTATGCGAAGACAGATAGGATTTAATTTGCGATCGTCAAACTCACGGTATAAGTGATTATGAATGCTTTTATTCAGGTTGATGGTTGATAAAAATGGTGATTATAATTTGTTGCAGCCAAGTTCAAAGTTAAGATTTGAAGAAATGTGAGAGAAAATGTCATGTGTCTAGCTATCTCTCTTTCTCTCTTTTTTTTTTTTTTTTCCAATTAAATTAGTTAACCGGAATAACTAGAGAGCTGTAATTGTGTATACCGAGTTTCATAATTTTAAAATTCACCATCCCTTTGTCATCATACTACACAGTTTCATAATTTTAAAATTCATCATCCCTTTTTCATCATACTACACAGTTTCATCATTTTAAAAAAATTCACCAATTTGAAGCAGTTTCCAAACAATTTATTTCATCAACACAGAAAATTAATTAAAATCAATTTCATCAATTTCACCAACAATTTCACAAATCAAAACCAATTTCATCATTTTCAACAATCAATTTCACCATCAATTTCACAGACAATTAAAAAAAAATACAGAAAATCAAAACAGTGAGAAAAAAAAACCTGAATCTTCTTTATTCTTCGGATGATCTGGGTTGTAGGAGAGAGAGAGAAAGGGATGATGAATTTTGCATCTCCTTCTGTAATGAGAACACCTACCACCGAAAACCCACCAACAAAAAAATTAAGAACAAAACAAAAACAACTTTAAATCACAAAAACAAGCAAAAAAATAGATCAAATCCAAAGACTAATTACCCAAATTCTTCAGAACCAAGGTCGATCATATTCAGAGACTCCTCTTTAACCAACGAGTCCGAGACAAAGATCTGGGTTGTAGGAGAGAGAGAGAGAGAGAGAGATGAGTGAGATCAAGAGAGGGGTGGGGGTAGATAGAGAAGGAAAACAGAGATTGTAGTGTCTATCTTGATGATAAAGAGAGGAAGATGATTATAGAGAGAAGTGAGAGGGAGAGGGAGTGAAAGACAGAGTTGAGAGTGAGAGTGAGATGTAAAGGGTTGGATCATTCTGGATATCCATCTCATCCGTTGGTGGTGATTTACGTGGATGGTGGTGATTTACCTTGGGAAGGAAAAAGAGCCGTTGTGCTCCTCTGGCTTGAAAAACAAAAAAAATAAAAATAATAAAAATTAACGGTAATATTTTATTTTCTAAACGGTCATATTTTACATTTTTATAAATAGAAGCCTCAATCTTACTTTCATTCACAACACATTTCTTTTCTCATCTCTTTTTTCCCAAACGGTCATATTTTAATTTTTTCGGCCAATCACTATGGAAGGTTCATCAAAAACAAAGAGAGGAAAATCATTCACTACTGAAGAAGATATGGCAATTTGTAGAGCTTGGTGTCACATTACTGAAGACCCAATTATTGGAAATTCGCAATCGCATTCTCATTTTTGGGGAAGAATTTTTGAAAATTATTGTTTATTGCAGAATGATCACTCAAGAACACAAGTGTCTATCTCATCTCGATGGGGTGTAATCATGAAATGTTGCAACAAATTTCATGGGTGTCTAGCGCAAGTCGAAAATCTACATCTAAGTGGGGCGTCACAAGTTGATAAAGTAAGATTTCATTTCCATTTATTATATTAGTTTTTTTTTAATTATTTTGTCTTACATAAAAATTAACTAATTAATTAATTTAATATTTTATTGATATAGATGCTTCGAGCAAAACTGTTATACCATCAAGATGAAAACAAACATTTTCTTTTTGAACATTGTTGGCCAATCTTGCAAAACAATATCAGGTGGCAAGATGTAACTCCTACGAACACGGTGAAGTCAAGAATACATACACCGTTTTCCCCTAATTCAGCCCCCGATTCTCCTATGGATAACTGCATTTCTCTTGAAGATGACACCAGTCCAAGTGTTGGTAACAATCCAACTGTTGGTGAGGGCAGTGTCTCTGCAAAAGGTAAAAGGCCTATGGGTAGGAAATCTGCAAAAGAATTATTTCGGAAAAATCAAGTCGCTCAAGCTGAAGTTCAAAAAATGAGCACACAATTGGACACATTCAACCAATACCTTGCTGAGAAGGAAAAGAAAAAAGATGAAAGAGAAGAAAAAAGGATTCAAGCACTGCAGGAAATGAAAGAACTTGAGATCAGAAAAGAAGAACATGAGATAATGACTACGGACATTTCTCTTTTGGACCCTCAGACAA